TGAGCAAAAGTTCACGTGTTGCCTATAGAATTTTTGGGCTTATTTTAGACTCCACAGTATTGACTTAACCATTTTGCAGAGCTAAACGATCTGGAATGAATGCATTGTATCAGATAAAAGATGTATAACATCGTAAATACACAAATATAATTTATTCAGAGTTAGATCCATTTCCTCGAATCATTATGTAATGCAATTTTCTGCTGCTGCTTAATTCCATGTGCTATGGTTTATATCCAATTTCTAACCAAAATCCAAAGCTATATTTTCCATGAAATACTGCTTTCAAAATGCTAGCAAGAGGCCTAGTCGAGCTAGCAGAATTCATCGGATTGGTGAATCAGTAGATAAATTAATCGCCAGATAATCCATTAAAATTCATCGCAAGTTGGTGGCAACGGAAACATCATTCATGTTGATATGGATGTAACAAAAGCCAAGGCTAGAGCAGCGGCTGAATGTTGTTTCATCATATTTGTTTCATTGGTATGTTGTTCGGAAGGGAGGCTTCTAACTTAAAAGTTCTAAGCATTCTACTGGCATCGTTTGCCACCTTCTCTTCAGCTCTATCAGTGTTTCGATATGATCCCATCAACAACAAAAAAGAAAAAAATGAGAACAATGTTATTTTTACCACTTTTACTAACCAATTTGTTTAAAACTTTTTAAATACATGTGAACTCCACGTATGTACGCGGAATTCATTTTTATTAAAGAAGTGGCAACCAATATTGTGGTCAGCAAAAATGATCCAAATACCAACAATAAAAAAGGCTTATTTGTGCCACTTAATACAATGATCTAGTGGTATTATTCTTCACTTGTAAGTGAGAAGTCTTAGGTTTGATTATGGTCAAAAGCGAATTTGAACCACATTATTAGTAGCCTATTGTGAGGTTAAGCTCGTCCTTAATGTACATAATATCGTTTGTTAAAAAAAAATTCATTATTCCTTGAAACTCGATAGTAATTTAGGCGTAATTTAGTGAAGTATAACTTATATTGGGTTGTTCCACAGTGGACTCCTCAATTTGGACCAAAGTCGTTCTGGCATGTCTTTGTGGGGCTAGATTTTAACGAAACTACCGTGTAAAAAGAACAATATTTGGTTACTCAATGATGAGTAGGAATTCCTACTCAAAATTTCTCAAAATTGTTTGTTGTCAGTTTATAGAACTTCGTGTTTATAATCAAAACTGTTCAAATTATAAATTACCTTATAAAGATCGTTTCTACAAAAAATCAATTAAAAATAAGATCATTTAGTCATCAAATTATTTGAAAACAAATGAACGGTATGGGTAAAAGCATTACGAACCGTCTATGCATTTGCTACAATATATTGACTAAACAACCTTATTTTTAATGTATTTTTTGCATAGATCTTTACAGTGTGATTCATTGTATGAACAGGTCTGATCATAAGCACAAAGCTATGTGATTAAAACACTAAGATATTTTAGTAGGAGTTTCTACTCATTTTTTAGTAGCCAAGTGTTCGAGTAAAAATTGACCTAAACATAAAGCAAAATAGGATAAACTTTTAGAATTTCTAGCCCATTAAAAAAATGACATATCTCTACTAATTAATGAAATCTTCTTTGTCAACCAAAAGAGGATGAAAAGACAAATTAGTCTTCTATCACACAAAAAAAATGATGGGCAATAATGTAATTTCACAAGCCCAAATTTTACTGTTTTTTATTGAAGTCTCACCTATAGATGATGTTAAAATACCTTCAATATTAAAAAATAAAAATAAAAAAATAAAAAAAAAAACCAAAAACAAAACCTTCCACTCCTACACGTTCTCTCTCTCCCTCTCTTCTTCTCATTTTCTAAAAAAAATGTGTTCATACATACAAAGTGTGTATGCAAATGCTAGTGTTAATTAATATAAGGTAATTCAAGGTGTTGATCCCAGTATAAATATGGGAAAAGGATCCTATTGAGATCCTCTTTGTAGGGATTTGGAGAATCAATCAATCATGTCCGTTTATTGTACATTATGCGGTTAGAAATCATTTTAAATTTAAAATTTAAAATTGAATATAAATAGTACATAAAGAAAAATTAACTGCACAATTTACGATAAATAGACATGATTGATTGATTCCTTAAATCCCCACAAAGAAAATCCTTTTCCATAAATGTGAAAGTTGTGTTAAAAAATAACACATAGTTGGATATTGACGTGTCAATGCCATTCCATAGGCGCCACATTCCCTAGAAATATTGGTTGGGAAGTCTAAAAAATAAAGGTGTGACTTGGGTCTCACGTTCATCCTTAACCATCGTGCAATGCCTACTTTCATACGCAGTTTTACAGAAATACACTATCTATCTTGTAAATCTTCCAAGTGTCACTCTGATCAAAGAGTTGGAGATTATCAATTTATTTCCTTGTCTTCTAAAATGAAGAAACATAGACCTCGTTTTATAAGGAGGATTGGCTTGGTCCGCTTAGATATGATTATTCATCATATTATACGTATTTTGAAAAAAGAAATAAATGATAATTTCTTATTTTGTCCAAATTAAACGTTACTCATGAAGAAAAGTTGTTCATGTTTTTTGTCAAAATATCGAACTTTTTAATTTAATCACCTATATGTAAACTTAGTTGCTTCAAGTATGAGAGTATGAGATCTGCTAGCACCGGACAATTACTGAGTTCTGCTATTACTAGAGTCTAAATATCATCCCTCTCACTTATAGGTAGCTAGGTTCGACTATTATTGATAGCGAGTTCGATCACAGATTCCCAATTCCTTAAAAGTGCTTTGAGTCATAAAAGTGCCTATAGAAAAGCACATGGTTAGAGGACATTTGCTTTTCTTTTTCTAAACAACCTGGACAAATGTCGGCATGCCTCAACCAATAGCATGGCTTGGCAATTATCCATAAGCCCATCAAGTGCTCAACCAAATGACTCGATGACAAAATCCGAAAAAATCGACTGAATTCCGAAAATTTTTGTGCTCTACGCGTGCTGTTTCTTTAGAAGAGAAGTTCCAAACTTTTGGCTCATTTTGAAGTGCTTTTAAAATAACTAAAAATGATTTTAATGAAAATAATTTTGGATCCAATTTTTCGTAAAACTAGCACATGAATCCTGAAAAATTGATTCATACAAGAAGCACATAATTGGTGCTTCATACAAAAAGCACTTGAAATGCTTTTGGAACACAAAAATATTTTTTTCTAAAAGCATTGCCAGTCATTTGAAAAACAGTCCAAACAAGTCATTTTATACTATGGCCCCATTAGGTATATAAACCAAAGGAAAACGAAACCTAGTCTCTAGACCACATTTATTGAGAATGAGGATCCTCTTTGAATCCTCTTTGTGAGGATGTCGGGAATTCTCCAATCACATTCCTTCATCGTATATCGTGTGGCCAGTTTTCATCAGATAATGTTTATATTCAATTTTAAATAAAAAAATTTACTACAATTTCTAACAATACAATATACGATGAACAAACGTAATTGACTGATCTTCAAAATCCTCACAAAAAAGATCTAGAGATGATCCTGATTGCTTTATTGAAACCCTTGATGAGCATCTCTCTCATAGACATGAACCCGAACCTATATGCATTAAAAAGGCGAATAATGTGGTCCAAACAACATTCCGGAACCGAATATAAATTGGGTTATTGGTTAAATAAAACAATAGAGAGGTCCCCCCTCCCCCTGAATCTCTGATATGGTCCTGCTCCTAGCAGTCAAACAATTGCAGTTGAACATTAAACAGTCTCCTGTAAACGGGGTGAAATTTTAACTTTTTACATTTTACTTTTCCCCACATTTATTCAGTCTATGTTCATTTTACACGGGGATCGAATTTAGAAGCAAGATAGTAAACTGTATAAAATGAATTTATTGTCACCGTTACCTCTAGTCTAATAATATATTGTCAAGTAAAAAGAATTTTACACAGAACATAATATTATTAGACTGAAAAATCTCGTGATGGTAAATCAAGTGGCCTAACCAATACCGACATGATTCTTGAAACAAAACATTAGGGAGACGAAAAAGAGATAAAACTGCAAGAGCAATCTTTGTCTGTCACAATTACTTGAATTTTCCAACTAACTAGAATAGACCAACTCGAATTAAATAGGTCAAATTTCAACCTGTCCCTGTTTTTGGTTATCCATTTGCATCACTATCCAAATACAGAAATACACCATTATCACAAGCATTTATAATCATCATGCTATATAATATAGGAACCGGATCTCCTCCTAAGCTTAAGAGGCTGAGCCTCATGACCAAAGGATCCGGACCGTTGAAATTTGATCTAACAGCTACAAACAGAGAATCCTCTTAAAGTTATAATAATTGCAGCTTGCAATTATTATAACTTTTAGAAGAATCTTCTATTTATAACCGTTGGATCAAATTTCAGTAACCCGTGTAATTTGCTCAAGAAACTTAGCCTCTTAAGCTCAAAAGGAGGGGATCCGGTTCCTATAATATATACATATATACATTATATATAATATAATATTATATTGCTGTCACCAAATTCCAGATGACCATATTATAGTAATAAATTTACGCGACATATCTGTGTCCATAAAATCATACCAACCCACACACACGTTCAAATTCAATTAAACCAGACCTCTGGTTTAGCATCCACAAAGGGTAGGTAGCCTACATCTTGTGAAAGCTATTTTATCCGTAAACAATTAAAAATATACCGATGATTACTCGACCGAGTCATTCCTCCTTACAAACAAATTACACTTTAGCATGTGCACAAACTTCTCTTTTTGTGCATTTAATCAAATAATTTGGACGCACGTCACAATGATTTGCAGAAAACGACGAATGCGTCATTCGTAAATCGTGATGGGGAGCCAAACAATGTTCTATACCATTCATTGTTCATTCCCACACGTCATGTGCAACACGTTCGAAATCACGACACGAAAGACATCGAAAGCAATACGTTCGACCCGAAGAACTTTACAAAAGATGAGTTAACAAAAATACTGAAGATGTAATTAAGCACATAACGGTTCAGCATTCCAATCACAGCCTACAAAATTACAAATGAACATAAACTAGTCACCTTAGATAAAGTTTTTTTTCCATTTGACAGCATAATTAACTGAAATTTTTTAAAAAAACTACCACCTTCAAGACGAGGTCTAAATACAGCATACCGGAAGCCTCACGTTCTCCATGGTCTTTGTCGCAGCTACGCATTCAAAACGGAAGAGCTCAACGAGGTACCGCATCTTCTTCATTAACTAAACACGAAATGGCGGAAAGTAGAATGCCCTGCTACTCAAAGGCAACTCAAAATAAATAAAACGGTCTTCCTCACAGCATGCAGTCGGTTCTAGCCGGCAACCTCCTGAAGAAATTCAGCGGCACAGAAGGAAGCTTATGACGGAATCTTGGGTGTCTCAGCACATAAAATCCAGCAAGAAGAGCCACAACCTGGAACGGAGTAACATACAGAACAATCGCTGCAATCAGACAGAAAAGCACAAACAGTGCGGTAGCTCTCGGGTCTCTCCAGCTCAGCAAAGACTGCAGCCGCTCCCCTTGAGTAGCCAAGTCGCCAACCACTGTCTGGATTCTCCCTGCAATACTCCTCAACCTATCATATCTCATCCTCACTATGTCAGAAGGCCGCGAAGTAGGGAATGTATCAAATTCTTCATCAAGTTCATCGGGATGTGCAGAATCTGCATGAGACAGACGAGTGTCCATGTGAGGAGGGTGCCTTGGCCTCCATCTATAGTACCAAACTCCAATCAAGAAGAGGTAGAGAAAAATTGTAGGCAATATGAGCTCGGGGTACATGACCAGAATAATAAAGAGGATGTGAATGAGTACGGTAGTAATGGGGTTTCTCCAGTTGCAGATCTGATCAAACCATTTTCCAACAGCAATTATCCCACCCAAAACACTCATAATCCTGAAAAAGTTAGCTTTGCTTCTTCTCATACTCCACATGTGGGAGCGCACATCCAGCATATATTCGACCACCTCTTTCCTCAACGGTGGCTCAGCACGGCTCAGCCTCATCGACACAATCTGAGTGGCCTGGTGCCTCAAGCTATCAAGCTGACTTACAGTTAATGGATGAATGTAGTGCATTTTTGGCAGCAGGGGCTGTGAGTACATGTGCATCATGTTAAGCAGAGAAGAGCAAGTGAACCTCACGGCCATATGAATTTCACCCATCTTCTTTACACCATTTGGGTGCAGAACTAAAAGCGGGTACGAGTGTGTGTAAACCCGATCAGTCTCAAGGGTGGAGAGCCGAATCCTTACCTTCCCAATTCTTGCATCCTTGGCCCCTCCAGCCTTTTCTCCCCCGTGCAGATGGCAGTTATCAAACACCCCAATTGTTATGACAGTACAAGGATCAAACACTTCCCATGTGTACTGCTCATTCCACTTGGGCATAAAGCTATCAATAATGGTTCTTGTTCGAACCCATTTCTGCCCATATTTCGCTACACAATACGCATCTGTCGTACCCCTCCCGTCTTTGGTCTTCATTGGCATCAACCCCTGAGCATTCAGAATTCCCACTTCAAGGATCCCAATGCTGGACTTCCACAATGGTTTTGCTGTCGGTCGAAGATCACTACTATAGTATGTTGATTCATCAAGGACATGGTAACCACCTTCCAGACAGATCCTCATATGAATCCTGCTTGCAAACTTGATTTCCTTCTTCTTTTCCCCTTCTACAATAACATGCTTTTCAAGATGGTGCCAGCTAGTGTTAACAGGTTTATGATCATACCTTCGGGGCACATACTGCAAAGGAATTGCACATCTCCCCAAAACTTCATCTTTGTTAGGTGCAATTCTGTCCTCCACACTCAAAATCAAGGGCTCCTCAAATGGTTCTGATGCTACGAACATTAAATCTTCATTCCACATAGGATTTATGCTCCTGCTTGGAGAAATCCTAGTTTTCAAAGCTTGATTTCCAAGTATAGCTTTCACATAAACTTCAGGATACCGACCCTTATCACTCAGCATCAAATCCTGAGCTTCAATCACATTAACCCTCAAATACCAAAGCTTAGGAGAGAGATACACCTTTGATCGGATATTTGCAAGACTGTCAGCTCCGCTAATTGTGGCAGCATCAGAATGCCATGCTTCAGGAAAAGCTTCATCAGCTTGGGTGCCCATCCATACAGCCAACATCAGCTCTCCCCTTGCCTTGTTCCCCTTATGATCTTCCAATCTATACCACTGTGGTGCCAGAGGACTATCAGGAGGAACACGTTTTGGAACCTCGTTCAGATCAAAAGAAACACGGCCCATGAAATCATCCTTCATAAGATCCTTGTCCTTCACAATGACCTCAAGAACCGTAGCCTGAATACGATCTTTCGAGAAGGCGAAAACTTGGTTCCACTCCGGATTTGACTTCTTCTCAAAATGTCGAGTTCCGCCTTTGTAATTCCCAAGCTTAACTTCGACATAAGGGTCACAGCTCCCAGTAGCATCTTTCGCGGGCAAGTCCCTTGCCTTAACAACCCGGACATAGAGGTACTGCATCTGCTCAACGAGGTCATACGTGCTCGTTAGCTTGTCACCGGAGATCCTCCCCCCACCGAGGTGGGGTTTGGTCTCCTTCAAAGCAAAGTCTTCCGGGGGAGGTCTCTGCATCTTTCGGGTTCGATACCAGAGATGCCCAGGCAAAAATGAAGTTGAAGTTGAAGTTGAACGGTTGGATTAAATGAGGTTAAGGAACTAGTTTTGAATTAATTCAAATGTTCCCAGAAACCTAAGACATGGAAAAACAAAATTAAGTAGCCGTTAGGTATAAGGAAAACCAAAAGCCTAGTCAAGGAAAGCGACCAAAATTCCCGGAATATTCAAAACACCAACCGCATTATCTTACCTAAACAAATAAAAGACTACAAATTACCATGTTAAGAACTCAAAACCGAAAACATATGCAAACAAAACGCATAGACATCTGAAATCATTAATTAAATTAATTGAAACTAAATTAGAAGAACTTAGATCTTTAAATTGGGGTTTAAAGAGTAACCTTCCGAACCAGCGGAGAAATTCAAGCTTCAGATCTGAAACCACAACAACCCAGAGTCAGAAAGCATAAACAGAACAGTGAGAAAATCGAAAATGCTTTTCATATAATGTGTTTGGCTGCCGAGAAAATGACGAAAAGTGAAAAACAAAGCATGCTGTAATACCAAATTAAATTTTCCTTTACATTGAACCCAGAAAAGCAAAAATATTTATGACTAAATCCAGAACATCACTTTCCTATTAGGAACTTAGCTTTTCAGTTTCCAAAATTTTCTCTCTTGTTTTCCTCAGATTTCCCAGAAAATAAAATAGAGTAAAAAGATGGAGAAAACAGAAAAATATACAGAAGCGAGAGCACAACAAAGAGCGTCAGATAAAAAACTAACAATGTCGGCGGAGGGGAACGGTAAGAGAGAGAGAAAGTTTACCTCTTGAGACGGAAGAAGATGAATCAGCAGGGCTTCACAGAAAAAACCAAAAACCCAAAAGCATTCATCTTTCAAAAAAAAAAAAAACAAAAAAAATGGAAAATAAATATAAAAATGCTTCTCAGATGGAAGCGGTGGAGGAGGGTTTCATTGGGTTTGGTGAGAGTGAGAAATCAAAAAGAGATAAGGAGGAAGAAGTAGAAGAAGCAGTCCCTTCCATTCTAGAGAGAGAACTGCTCAAGGGGTAGAGAGAGAAAAGGTGAGAGAAGCAAAGCAGACAGAGGGCTTTTGCTTTTGGGTGGGATCGGTTGAATATGTGAGGAGAGATACAGAGAGAGAGAGAGCGTAGTCAGTCTCTCTTTTTTTTTCTCTTCTTTATTGCTTTTACTCACTCTGTGTGTTTTTGGGTCTTTCTCTCTCCTCTTTCTCTCTCCGTTGGTGTTAAAAGTGGTGGGAGCGAGGCTTACAGGTCATCCTCGAGTTCTTTTAGCAGAGATTCTGAAAATTTGTGAATTATGTTTATTCATTATATATCGTATAGTAAATTTTTATCAGATATTATTTATATTTAATTTTAAATAAAAATATTTAAAAAATAATTTCTAATCACACGATTAATAATGAATAAATCTTTGGAATCCTCACAAAGATTATCCGGAATAATTGAGGTTGGAAACGGACGGGTCAAGCGTGTGTAGGACTGCCGTCGGACCTCTCACGTGTGTCCGCATATGGTTTTGTGACAGGAATTAGGAATACTGTTTTTTCTTTTCCTTTTTACCGAACAATTGTTTTGTGTTTTTTTTTTTTTTTTTTTGGTTTACAAGATGACTTGAGATGAAATTCAATGTAAGAATAATGCGCATGCATAACGTAAGAGGTCATTTAATTCTAACCCGTAGTAATAATCGATAACATTAAATGTTAATGTTGAGTAATTTTTAATTTTTATTACGACAGAATGGGTGTGATAATGCGCACAAAAGATGGGATCACAGGTGGGATAGAATGAGGGAAAAAAGATTATCGTCGGATTCTTTTTCTGGGATAACTATTATTTAGGTTATTAAAGCAAAAGTTCTATTGTCAATGTGAGATAACTATCACCAACAAAAAGGACTCTAGCACAGGAATGAACACACTAGTCTTACCAATCGGCTTAACCAATGTAACAATTATCCCGTTATTCTTAAACCTCAAATTAATATTTTTGCATAGTATTCTTTTTAAAATAGTAAAATACAACAACCAGGATAAAATCCCAAAATTTTAAATCTTAATTTGTAATGTTGTGTTTTTTCACAATTTTAGTAAAGTTTTTCTTTTTGAATAAAAAAACTTTATGTAATTAAAACAATTAAAATGCTACTTTGATTGGATGAATAATATTTGGACAAGGAATGTTTTCTGTTTGTGTGGTCACGATTAAGCCACGTCAACATTTTATATTACTATTCATTTTTGTCTTATTATCTTTATAAAAAAATAATATAAAAATATTAACGTTACTTAACCGTGATTACATAAAATAGAAGGACATCAGAAATGAAAAGGTAGACAATCCTTTTCCATAATATGTACCATATTATTATTATAATATATTATATATGAAAACAATGGTTGGAGTGAAAGAATTGAGGAGATGTCTTTTCAGAATGTGCCCTTTGGATTCCCTGTCGGACTATTTAAGCATGTGGAGGTGGTGGTCATGGTGGGATCTTTCTATGCGTTCTGATTAGTTGTCAATTGGTGGGTTAAGTTCAGGTGGCTTTGTTTGGGCCCGATCACAAAACCTAGTTAGGAACTTTCTATGGGCTTTTACCGTTTAACAAGACCATAGAGTAAGGTGGTTGTTTACATAGATCAACAAGTTTGTTAATTGAAGTTAATAAAATATCTTGTATTATACCATTCTAATTTAATGATATTTTTCTTTATTTATTTATACGTTGGACATTTTAAGTTTGGCTTACGTAGATAGAGAGTCTGATATTAAATATTATGATTATCCTATTTTATTATTTAGCTCAAATAGTCATCCCTTAATATAAATATATAGTGGTAGTGTAATGTTAAAGAGACTAAATTTTGTACAATGAACTGAGAAAGAATGGTGAGGGTGATGGGTTTGTAGGGGGTGAGTCCCACTTTTTTATAAAAATATTTAAATGATTTTATTTTTATTTTTAATATTTGATTAATTTTTTAATTCAATTTATTTAACAGAGAAATTGATAGAAAAACTAACGAAGGTCTGACATTGCAATAAATTCGTAAAATAAGGTATGACATTATAATTATTAAAATATGAGGTATGAGATTGTGGTTCGACCCATAGTTGAGGTAGTTTTGTATAATTTACCCTAGTTTAAGTTATACTTTTAAAAACCATTGTTAGTTTTAAAATCATATTACATATCAGAATATGTAGAGTAATCATAAGGAGACTACATTTACAAACTAAATGATGTGTCACGAATAGAAATAAGTACGTTTATCAACGTTTAAATAATAAATCAATCATTAACTTCCATGTCATTTAGTTTCCAAAACTTTGTCTACAAATTTAGTCTCCTTATGATTACTCTACATATTCTGTTGAAGTTCGAAACGTTAAAGAAGTGGAAAAATGAACTTTAGGAAAAAAATAACCAAAATGCCTTCATCATGTTCTAATTTTTTTATTTTATTTGATTTACGTATTTTTTGTAATTAAAATTTTCTTAGAACATGCCTCTTATCTAGCTAAGAATTTGCTTTTGTTGTCAAGAAATTATTATTAGCCATTTTGGAAAGTTTTAGGATTTTTTACTAAAATGCCCTAGCTAGTTTCATCCCTAAATTAAATTAGGAGATTATAAGATCGATTTTGTAATGAGATTAACAAATAAAATATCTGCTTAAGCATGGCCAGCTGCATTCTTTGCCTTAATTGTTTTAGGGATGTGATATCCACACACCCCATTTTACTTCTCACACACCTTTTTAATTTTGGACCGTCAGATCGGATAAATTGAAGAAGAACAACGGACATAAATTATCAAGGAGTGTGTGAGAAGTAAAATGGGATGTGTGGATAGCACACCCCTTGTTTTAAGTCATAACCTTTCAACTCAACCAAACTTGACTCCCAACAAGCAATTTCTAGTTCATTTGGAACCAAAGTTTGAGTAATAAATAACACTCCTTGCTCACCTATTTAGAAGCACAAAGAAATCAAAACTCAACTCTAAAATTTGGGTTGATTATTAATTATCTCAAACATTTCTCTTAAAAAGTTACATTTTCCCATCTGAAGTTTGAAACTCAAGAAAGGGATCAAGGACTCTTGAACTCATTTTTCCTAAGCACTTTCAGTAAGTATCTAAGCACCTAAATATAGTAGGTTACCCTTAGAGTAGGTCAAACATGAAATACATTATGTTTGCTTCCAAAAACTCACATCTCTAACTGATGAATTTACATTTATAAATGGTATAACTTATTGTGGATGCAAATTCCGTCCAAGGTTGGATTGACAAAATAACACATACAAAACAAATTATGTCATTGGCCTAATTGATGAACACTCGAGAAAAAAATAGAAGGGTGTCTATCAAAGGCATTTGATGCCTATGTTAGAAATATTTTGAGAGAAACAAGAACAAAGAGAATTCTAAGTAGTAAATGCCGATTACCGATCTCCTTATTTGACTTGGCTATTTATAGGAGAGACTCCTCAGAGGTAGCTAAGGGGTGAAGCCGCATGCCATGTTAGGCAGACCGATATGTTATGCTAGCGTTGTCACACCCGGGCCTGAAAATATTAATTTCGAGAAATGATATTGGTGACAGCCCAAAAACTTTGCTTTATTTCGCAAAATTTTAAATCACGATTCTTTAGTTAAATTCCTTAACTCCCTCTCAATAAACATAAACATAATTAATTTATAAGGCATGTGCCTAGGCTTTCTATTAAGTCAAAATTTACTTCTAATAACTCAACTTCTTAACAGAAATTAATTCTTGATTATTTAATCTTACTTGTTTTATGGCTGCATCTAACATCTCGTTAGACTGCCCATGTAACCTAAACAGGGATCAAGTCATTCGTAGTTCATAATTCATTATTTACCAATTCCCAAACGTATTCTAGTAACCACCATATTCAACACTAACCTTCATAATCCAATTCATATCAAATGGTTACCAATTATAGAATCAGAATATCGAAATTTACATGAAAATGGCAACGTCGGCTCCTTGGCCGTGCGCCACCGCACCTGCTGCCGCTAGTGGCGGCCAGTCGCCCCGGCTCGTCGGAAGATTCAACTATTTCTAAAAATTACCAAATTTAACAGTAACATAGATCTTAGTGAGTAGAGCAAGTTTCATTCCTGTGGCCAAATCCAATTTGGCTAGGAAACAGCTCAAATCACACTCGAACCGTCAGAAACCTTTGATTTTGGGGGTTTTGATTCGACTCCAAAACATCTCTGATGCCCCAACCAACGCATGGGCTTTGTTCCTGAGGTTGAGGGGAGCCTATTGGTGGTGGTGGTTGAAGAAAATTATTTTAGGTTTTGCTGATGCAAAGATAAACCCGTCGCACCCTCTGATGTGGGTTTTGTAAAATCAAAGCCAAATTCTCTAATTTTTTTGGGTGGAATTGATAGAGGGATCGATTGGCCTCGACGTAAGGATGATTTTGACACCAACCTCGCCATCCTTGGTGGCCAAAGTTGGGGGATAGAACCGGGTCGGGCCTCGGTTCCTTAAGGGGATCTGTTTCCTTTTCCTTTTTTTTCCTTTCCTTTCCCCTCCTTTCTCCTCTTTCTCATTGCCCTCCCCCCCCCCCAAAACATCATTTCCCTCCTTTCTCTCCTTTCTCTTCTCCCCTTCTCATCACAACCGTCCCTTCTTTTCTTCCCTAAATCTTAGCCACACACATGGCTTTCCCCAGATTTGGCTCAAAGAAATCTGAAGCCTTCTAAAAAGAAATTGACCATTTTGTCCTTAACTTTAAACGTTAATAACTTCTTGGTTATAACTCCGTTTCACGAACGGTTTGCGCCTATGAGTTCGTGAGATCGAGCTCTATTCAAAAATATAAATTGTGACTTCGAACGATCTTCAGATTGTAAATAATTAATTCCCAAACTTCATCACCAATTTAATTTAAAACTAAACTCAAATGAAGGAATAAAAATTTTCCAAAAATAACATAAAATCTCAATAATACAAACCCATAAATTATAATAATTCTGGAAACAAAACTTTAAAAGTTCTCGATTAAATTCTTCATAACTATAAATCGATTTATTTTCGATTTTTCCCACATATTCATAATTATGAACATATAATTCATATATTTAAAATTTCAGGGTATTACAAGCGTATTGTAGGTCACACTTCGCAAGAAGCTAGCGGAATGACATCCAAGGAGGCCTCCTTGAGCCGGGGAAGTCATAGTTTCAAGAGTGAGATATCATGGGCCTGAAGGATGCCTTGATATGTGTATGACCCTAAGGGCCGAGGACATACAGCGCAGGCAAATGTTTTAGCCCTTGAAAGTCAAGTGTGGTCTGGTAATGACGTCAAGGGCAAAACCATTGTTTTGAGCTAAAAGTTCATGTATCGTTCTACTATTTCAACTGGTTAAACCAATAGATGACTTTGGGTTTCTTAACTTGTGATTGAATAATTGATTACAGAAAAAAAAAATAAAAATTGGGCTTCATTATTTCTAAAAAAAATGTAGAGAATTTGAAGATAGAAGAAAGGTTCGTGATAGTGTATTAACCTGTGAGAAACATACATGTTAAATAGAAGTTGGTAGCTTGTATAAACACACGAAAGCCATTGTGACCACACATTTATATATATTTAATTAATAAAATTTATTTGGCATGTGCGGTTCACATGTGTACACACAAAATAAGGTTTTGTGGTCTACAATTATAAAGTAGGACACATACAATTGTGCATATGAAGCCTATGTATAGACACAAAAGTCCTTTTGTATCCATGTTTAGTCAAAAAGTTGACCAAAAGTTAATGTCCCACTTTGCTTGGTTTTCGTCCCTAATAATGTGTTTGTATCCATTATTTTTTACATTGGTGCCCTATATTGAATGTGTATTGTTTCACTTTCCACATCCAATAATGTGCTTATGTCCATTATTTTTTATATTGGTGCCCTATATTGAATGTGCATTGTTTCACTTTATTAGTGTTCACAAAGAAACAAACTCCTCATTTGTGTTCTTAATTTTGTACACAAAGACCATTTTTTTGTTTTTAATGCAAGCATGTTGGAGCCCTTTCTCTAACAAAGTTGGCCACAAAAGCCCAATACTGATACACTCCTAAGCCAAGTACGTCTCTATGAATTAACTAAATTGCACATAAGATCTATGAAGTATGGAAACTCAAATCCCTTATTTAATGGAGTTTGTGTGTTTATGGGATTTGTCCTCTCTATGTAGAGGGCATTCATGGCCTTGCAAATGGCAGCCGTACCGTTTTCAATGCCTAATAAATCTTTATCGTAGATCAAAAGTTACCTAATTATCAATAGTCTAGCTTTTATGTTTTATCCACTAATCACGTATTAAAGGCATGAAGGGAATGATGAAGAAATTTAAGACATCTCAATTGCTTTCATGTTGTTTATGAAAAATAATGACAGGGTTTAGAGAATTTAAGCCCAATCAAAGCGTGCTTTGTGAATTATGAGTTGAATATGACAAGAATACCTTTGATGGTGTGAGCAGAATACAACTTCAACCCTAAGGGCCCATTTCAGATTGGTTAGGCTAAAAAATTCGTATGGATAGGTTTAGGATATTTGTTCAGTGTGTGGTGTAGATAACTCAACTAGGTTAGGATTCAAAACCAAAAATATATTGATGAAAGAGTTTCATGCTTCTCGTCTCCCACACAAAATAAAATTGAAAAAGAAGAAAATTTTGAAAAATAAATTGAACGATATTTGGAAACTAAACTCGATTGTAGAAAAAAATTTGAAAGAAATCTGGAAATAAATAAATGAAATATGAAATAAATAAATAAAAATTGAACAAACATGAAATCAAATTGAAATTCTCATTGCTTCAATTATGGACCCAATTTTGATCGTTATCCATCCAAACACAAAACCAATATCATGAAAATATTTCCTACAATTTTTTTTATGGGAAAGAGAGATGGGGAAGATGATGTTAATTCTAGATGGGGAAAAGAGAGAGAAGAAGATGATCATGATCATGATCATGATGAGAAGATGATGATGATGATGATGATGATAATGATGATGAAGATGGCTTCAGATGGAGGAGATGGGACTCAAAACGATGTTGTGCAACATATTACAAATCCCCTAAATTCAAAATCCATGAGTAGTTTACAAAATATCTCATGTCGTTGTTTCGTTTAGGGCTAGAATCTCAGCTTGATTTGAAAACTTCACAAACAAATTATGTTTGGTCGATTTCCAAGATATTGCAGCATCTCCAATGGTAAAGACATAACCCACTTGAGAGTACGCCATATGCTAGTTAGAAAAATAATTAGTGTAAGTACAACCAATAAGATAGACAACATTTCAAGGATCAGGAGGTTGGATCCACTCGGAGATGCATAGGGATAGAATAAGCCCATATCCATTGTATTTATAAGGTAACACATGATGTCTTTTAATACATGTCCAATGTTTGCTTGTAGGACTATTGCTACATCTTGACAAAAGATTCATAGCAAATGAGAGGTCTGGTATAGTACATTGAGCCAAGTACAATAAAGCACATATAGCACTTAGGTATGGAATTTCAAGTTTCAAGACCTCTTCATCGTCATTTTTAGGACATAATTGATCTTGTTGTACATCTAGTATTCGAACGATCATGAGAGTACTCGAAGGTTTTGCTTTATCTTCAATAAAGTGGATAACACCTTCTAGGTATAGTTCGATTGATGGACCAGGGTACCATCTGAACAATGCTTGATCTCCAGGCCAAGACAATATCGAGTTTTCCCAAGATTTTCTATCTCAAATTCGGCTTCAGGTGCGAGACAATTTTCCCAACCTCTTCGGAGTCCCATTGAGATTCATATCATCAACATAGATTGCAACAATCGCAAATCCGGAATATGACTTCTTAATAAACACGCAAGGTCATAACTTGTTATTCTCATATCACCAATTGATCAAATACTCTCTAAGACATACCACATCCTTCTAGACTGCATCAATATGTAATGCAGACTTCTCAATCTTATAGAGAGAGTGTTCCATGGTCGAGATCTATTTGAGTAGTCACTCGGAAGTCCTTTATGAACTTTCATATAAATATATGTATCTAGGTCCCCATAAAGATATGTTGTGACCACGTCCATGAGCTACATATTTAAAATTTCGAAAGTTAACAGACTAATAAGGTAGCAGAACATTATGACAATACAAGGAATAAGTCTCCTTGTAGTCAAGTCTAGGGTGTTGAGAGATGTGCCACAAGACGTGCTTCATTACGCACCATTTTCTTATTCCCATTACACTTCCTTACGAACACCCACTTACAACCAATGGGTTTCACAACAGATGGTGTTGGAGTTACATGTCCAAATACTTTACGCTTCATTAAGGAATCAAGTTCAACCTAGATTGCTTCCTTCTATTTTGACCAATTAGTTTTACATCGACATTTATCAACAAAACGAGGTTCGATGTCATTGCTAATCAAAATCTTAGTAGCTACTACAAATGCATCATCGACGATAATCTCATTGCGATTCCAAATCATATCCTAGCTAGCAAAATAGACCAAAATCTCTTAATTCTCGAGAAGCGAATATTTCTCTTCCAGAACACTATCGTGATCTAGAGTAATCTCATGCAGTGGATTAGATGAGACAACAATTGGATTTGATTATCTTGTGTCGTGTGTTTCCTCTTTTGAGGGATACAAATCCCTCAAACCAACAAGTCTCCCACGCTTCGCAGTAGGTGCACGTCGACTGGCTAACCATCGGTGTATCGCCCGACATAATAAGGGTGGCCAATCGTCCAATAGAGGATAAATTTTTCAATGTGGAACACAAGGCGGTGTGCTTCATGTCATTCTACAAGTGAATAAAACTTTATTTTTTCAAGTGTCCCTCTTATATAATGACACGTGATGTACCGTCTTGTGTTCCGAACACTTTGAAAAACTCTCCCCATTAGATGGGACAGACAATTGACATATGGTCTTCAAAACATGACTTCTCTAACATCACTTTAAAATTCTTGCAACTTTATGGTCAAAAGCTTAAAAGAAGTTCATACTTGATAATTGTTATCAATTACTCATACAAATGTCCGGTTCACGGACCCACGCCCTCTAATGCACTTGTTCTCCACTACCCTCTTGAAATTAGCCAAAACTCAACGTATTACGGGTCCTAACAACCCAAACCTCCAATCAAACACGTCCACGCCATGCACCAAACCGCACCGGATCATTCCCTCACTCTCCCCTCAATCTCTCTCTGTATTCATTTCTGGAAGATCTGCAACTCACAAATCTGTGTCTACATAAAAACTCTGCGTTTTGCTGCCTCCTGAGAAAAGAAGCCATGAGCGACCCAATCGAGCCCGCAACGACGTCGTCTTCGGCCAAGGATCCGGCCCTCCTGATTCACCCGCGCCGCGAGCCGTTCGAGCACGGGCTGCTGCCCATCCCCAAGCTCATCTTCACCGACCCGACCCAAACCCTAATTCCGCTCAAGCAGAAGCTGATCGAGAAGTCGCCGAGTCACCGGGTCGACTCGGCCGCTATCTCCGAGGCGCTCCAGATCTCCATTGATCAGGCAAAGCTCGTCCTCGATACCCTAGCCTCGGTTCTGCACTCGGAGTCCGACCCGCTCGTTAAAGCCAAGCCGGACGGGATTGACGAGGCCGGAGCCGATGTGCATGATCTGGTTCTGTTCCTCTACATTCAGTCGTACAAGAAGTTGCTGCCGCGGACGCACAAGGACTCGGCTGCCGTCGCCGATGTCTGGCCTTCGACGTCCGCTTTCGATGGGTATTTGTCCGCTTTGTCACCTTTGCAGGTGAGAAGCTGTTCCTGAATTGATCTTTTTTTTTCTTTCTTTAGTTAATCGGTGGTGCATTGTGCAATGCGTGGGATTAGGAATTGGTGTACTGCGATTAATTGCTTTCTTTTTGGGGTTAGTTTTCATATTTCGGGTAAATTTTGGTTAATTAAGTCGAAAAGGTTGGTAATTTCATTCAAGACGTTGGTTTTCTTGACATGGGGTTGCTGCCATGTTGAAAATGGGTTTATTCAGGTAATTTTTTTAACTTTGTGTGTGTTCGTTCATTGGGACGTAAAAGTTATTGGTATTGGAATACAATGTGGATTAAAATGGAATCTAGTTTTATTGATCTATTGATTATTGGAAATTATTTTGGTTAGTATTTGGCTAATCTTACCATTCATTGTGTTCTGGTTAGAGTTTTGATCAATTGCGTGCTTGGGGTGGGGGTTGTAACAACTTGTTGCATTGTAAACCACGTCGTTGGATTGAATGCACTGAACGTAAAATGCTCAATTACCAAATCTTGGCTTGTAGTGAGTGGGCCTCCTAGTTTGTCTTCCAGGATGTGTATGTTTAGATCCCTTTGGAATGGCAGTGCTACATTGTGCCTACCCTGGTTTAATTAGCTTTATGTACTCAACAGTGTTGCAAAGTGGTAATCACGAGGTTGATTATAAACTTTTAGGGTGGGTTTATAACAAGTCATTTCCTTGTCTACCATGTCATTGGACTGAACTGCACTGAAGTAAAATGGTCAAGCACCTAATCTGGGCTTGTAGTGAGTGGACCTCCTAGTTTTATCTTCCAGGATGTGTATGTTTAATTCCTTTGGAATGGCAGTGCTGCATTGTGTTTGCCCTGGTTTAATTAGCTATATATACTCATAGCGTTGCAAAATAGTAATCATGAGGTTGATTATAAACTTTAGGGTGGAGTTGTAACAATTCATTACCTTGTCTACCACACTGTTGGATTGAACTGCACTGTTAGAATGCTCAGGTACCAACCTCAGCCTGTTGTGAGTGGACTCTTAGTTTTATCTTCCAGGATGTGCATGCTTAGATTCCTTTGGAATGGCAGTGCTACATTGTGTCTGCCCCAGTTTGATTAGCTTTATGTACTCATAGTGTTGCAAAATGTTAATCACGAGGTTGATTATAAACTTTTAGGAAAGGGTTTTGTTGATTTGGTTTCATTTGGATGATTTTTGTAGTACATAGGGTTTAGGGCTATACTAAAGCATTTTCAGTATCAAGATTTGGGCAATACTATATAACTTGTTGCAACATTTGTGTCCTGAAACTTTTCATATTTTTTATTTAATTGCTCGGACTTTGATTTGAGACATTTATTTTGTTGGATTAAACTAATATTAAACTTGGAATTCCAACACATGACAGCTTGTGCGTAGCAATAGCCGTCGGTTTATGCCATCACAGGCTGATGAAGAAGCACACCAGTTATCATATCTGCAAAAGCATTTGGCCAATCTTGTCTCTCTTTTAGCAGAACCTGTGGAGGGTGATGGCGAAGAATCTCTGGTATGTGAAATTACTACTTAATCTTCTCTGGTTTAGTTGATTATTCCCCTTTTTGGCTACCAAAAAGTAAATTGTGTGCATTTAAAGATAATGGTCGCTGGTACTTTTTTCCAATTCGATAGAAAACACTAATCGTACTGCGAGCACCACCCAAATCCTTGATTTGTGCTTTGGTTGGGTCATAAGTGCAACACCAATTATCATCACTTGTGAATTTTGTGGGAAGTGATTTCTTCATGATAAGTTTGAAGTTTGAATAATGAACCTTACATTCTACATTCCAATTGCACGATATTTACTGAAGTTTGGTTATTATTAATCTTAAAAAAGGTAAAGTAGGACAGGTTTAATGGAATGGAAATGCAGTTCAATAAATCCAACACATGGTTCTGGTGGAAGAGTTCATCTGGATGACAATAAGTTGGGCCATAGAATTTATGTATCCTAGTGTTTTTATCATAGACATCCAGTGCTGATTTCTTTTTTCTATTTATCTTATGGAATTTATAGTTGTATCTTTTTTGTTGGTATCTCCCAAGCCCACTTAATGATCTGATTTACCTTCATAGGTTTTGACCATGGAGAAATTTGAGCACCTTGGGTTTCTGCTTCACTTTGGTGACAAAGGATCTGAAGGAAATCTATTCAGCCAACGTGCTCCCTTTTTTGCAAATTCAGATCCTGATATGCCTGATGTTCCTGTTCCTGCAGCACAAGTTCACGATTGGGTTCTACAGAATATAGGTTCTTCTTTGGAACATATTTCAGAAAGGATTTCTCCAAAAGAAAATGGGCCACCCAGTTCCTCAGACCAAGATGTTCCTATGGCTGATGCCTGCACGAGTTCAAACAAGGGCTCATCTAGTGTCAGAGGCCCAAGTTTTATTGAGGGGATCTCTAAGTCATCTCTTGTAAAGCAATCATCTGATCTTAAAGGTTCTTCTGTAAAGGTTTGTTCATGAATCATAAGACATTTTTATGTTTTCTTGTAACTAGTTTATAAAAATGTAATATCCATTCTTTTTTCCTCTGTGTCCTACATTTACGGGATGTTTCAAAATCTCTAGAAGGTCAGGATCTAGAATCAGAAAGAATAAAATGAAGAGAACTCAATTCTTAATAAGGCACAAGAATCAAGTCATTATTTCTATTGGGGTTCTAATAACTTAATAGCTACATGTTATAGACATGAAATGATTATGAAGATGTGAGTGATTGCATGCCACATTGGGGATTTGCTCTTGGGGCTGTGAGAATGCACCTGTTGTGTTGTGTTTGAGATGGATTGAAGGTTTTGCTATGCTATATTTTGGTTTCTGAATTGGCTAACTTATTTTAAATTATTTCATAAATGCATTTTTTTCACTTTTAATTATCATTTACTTATTTAAGTTTCAAGTCTGTTGGGTCCTGCTATTATGCATAAGGAAGGGAGGTAGCTGCTCATTCAGTTTGATCCTAATCTTAGTTATAAAGATCATTGACCAATGAACTAATAATGCACTTGGTTAATGAAACTTGTCAAGATTGTCAGCTTTCTTGTTATCTTTTCTCAACATGTTTCTTTACATGCTTTGTGCGTAAAAGCAGTGAACTAAAATTGGATTATTCCTTCTAAGAGGTATATTGGTTTGGTAGTAACTTGTTTGCAATCTCAGGTTTTAAATTGCCACGATTCAGTTATCTACATATTAGCACCTCTGAGATATGCCACAGTTTATGGATGCTCTGATGCTACAATTGTTCTTGGAGCTGTTGGAAAGGTAATAGGAAAGGCATTTGTATTTATGCTTTGGCTTATTGACTGTTGAGTGACATGACTACTTTGGTTCTACTTATTCCCTAATATATAGTTGGATATCGAAAAAAGGTTATTTCTGTGGTGAAGTTTATAGTTGAATTGGAAATAGTTTTCTCGCTCGAGTAAATTTATACATAGTATCAGAATGATTAGCTTGTGGTCTGTAAAGGTCTCTGGATTTGTTTATCCTTCATCTCTGAAAATTTAGTATTAGATAAGTTGGTTGAGTTTGGTTACTTGATGTTTTGCAATAATGCTAATAACTGATATCTTCAGAGTGACTTTGCAAGTAGGCACGTTCCATTTCATTCCCACTAAGCTTTGCCTGCCCAGTCACTTTCTTTTGGCACTCATTTACCCCTTCCTATTACGAATACAAAGTTAGTTTGCAGTTGACTTTTTAAAGTCAATGAAATTAGCATGTAAGTATATAACACACTGAAAAAGAAGGCTTTTGAATTTTGTTTGTCTGGTAGCTTGTATAATAGAATGATTGTGTAAATTACTGGGTTGGATCACAATCGAACAATGACAGATGATTACTCTTTATCTCTGTTTGTGAAATCATAATTTGATTGGTGGTTATGCAAAGTTTTTATCTTGTTGTAAGTTCATTCAATTTTGGTTGGAAGTTTTTGCACAACTTGTTTTTAAGTTACAGTTCTTGCATAATGGTTTAGTTAATCAAATGTAATAACTTTTGTTACATCCCTTTAGTGAACATTGGAAGTAGTCCAATGTCTGTATATTACACTAAACTGGCCTTTAGAAAATTCAAACATTCTCTGTTTCAATGTATGTCTATATTTGCTTTCTACTGGAAAGCCTTATTCTGTAAATACTATATATCATTATTTGCTTTGATAGTCTGGTGATTACTTTATAATATTATCTGAAAACAAAAGACTCCCTGTAAATACATCTGCCCAACTATGCACTTCTATTTAAATGGCCAGTCTTAATTTTAGCATGTGTTGAGCTTTTATGATGCTGAAAAATCATGTTTTGATACCTTACCTCTGTATAATGACTTATTAGTTATTACTGTCATGTGAAGTGGCCCACCCCGTAATTACTGTTTTATATGCAATGAACGTGGATCGTTGTGTCACCTGGTTAATTTGAATCTTATAGCTTGGATGATCTGATGTCTCTTGCAGGCTGTGAGAATCGAACACTGTGAGCGAGTTCATGTGATTACAGCAGCAAATCGAATCTGCATTGCTAACTGCCGCGAATGCATGTTTTTCCTTGGGGTCAACCAGCGACCACTTATTGTTGGTGATAACCATAAGCTGCAGGTCTTGCCCCTAAGAGTTGATTGCATTTTGTTTCTAGCCAGTACTAGGGCAGATTAATTTTCACAATATAATCTACTGCAGTATATCTTAATGTTGATTTCTTTTTGTTACAACTAATCTTAATGTGGGTTTGCTGGTATATTGGTTCGACCTGTTTGGTTTTTTGTAAACCTCCATGACTTTCTTTCTGTTATCTCATATATGCATTGAACTTAAAACAATAATATGTTCCACTGGCATGTTATTGGCCACTCTTCTAGTTCTATTGTGATTCGTATCATCAAAAATGAACTTTCTTTCCATTCTACATTTGATAGCATGCCCCCAGATGTAATAGTTGTTTTTGACATCTGTTTTAAGATTTGAGAGGGTTTCCTGTACTCTTTAAATTGCTGAGTAAAAAAAGAAAGAAATGTCATGCGAAACTTACCAACTTATAGTCAACATGTTTTTGCTACACACATGCACACATCCTTTCAAACTGATGTTTGCTGACAGTCTTGACGCATTTAGTTGCTGTGTTTTATTTCTGAATAGTGGTTTGTATGCATGGTTTTGTTATGTTGAATATTTGGGGTCAAATTGAATACACTATGACTTTTAACAAAATTAAATTGTTTTTACTGAAATGTAGCATTAAATTCTTTGATCATAATAAGTATTTGTTATGATCATAGTTTTCTGTGTTTCATTCTTCAAGTTCTAATGACGATTTAACATGTTCAGATCTTTGTTTTCACCTCCCAACTTTTATCAGGTGGCACCATACAATACATTTTACAGTCAGTTGGAGGAGCACATGAAGGAAGTTGGGGTTGATGCTACTATCAACAGATGGGATGAGCCCCTGCCACTTGGAGCGGTTGACCCACATGATTCATTATCTCATCCAGCAGGTGTCTCTGAGGCTCAGGCCGAGTCCGCTGCACACTTAGACCCTGACCAGTTCACAAATTTCTTGGTATTATAATTTTTACTACAAACTGTTAATTTAGATTTGTATAGCGCATTAAAGGGTTTTCCTTAATTTTCTGAAGTAATTTTATCGGAAATTAAATAGAGAAAAGCCTCTGAAGGGCTCTACCAACAAAGTCTCTGGACAAAGTCATGCACTTTCGGGGCATAACAGTTGTATTTTATGAGTATGTTTCTTCATTTGGTTGGGGGAGGGTGGTTGAGATGGCCATGGCTGTACAGTTACTCCTTTTCTTTCTGAATTATCTAGTTACGTCCTTTATGTTTCTTTTATATTCAGATTCCAAACTGGTATGGAGGTGAATCGCAGGGCTCCACTAAAGACAACCCATTTCCATTACCAGATGCTTATATGGCTTCCCAGCATAGAAACGTATGTTTACTCCGGCTTAATATTAGTGTAGATTTTTTATGTATATATTTGGGTAAGTTACTAGATATTTTCTTGCAGTTTTACTAAGAATCCCTTGATCTTTGATTGTTCTTTTAATTATTCTAAACTATTTCTGCAGCAGAACAATCTTGGGGAGGTAAAGCAATTATTGAAGGAAGCACCTCTTGAAGAAAATAGAAAGCGGGAATTATCAACTGCTCTCCACGTATACTTTAAAGACTGGTTGTATGGTAATGCTCATTATTACAATGGTTTCCTCACGTTGACACACACGGCTGTATTTTGGAACATCATCAGCACTTTGCAAAACAAAGTTAATCAGCATATCCTTTATTTTGATCTATCAATAATTGTTTTCTGTCAGCATTTTCAGGCGACATACGGCTGTTTGGTGTTCTTAATAGTATATAGTTGTTAATAACCTCTTTTATGTGGCTTTATGTAAACTATCACTGTATATTATTGAGTTGAAATTGTGCCAAAGACATACCATTACATGTAATTTCATGAGCTTTTATAGAAGATGAGTAGGATGTCATTGAAAAGCTTATCGATTTGATCCCTGTTTATCTAATTTAATCCATGTGACAGCTTCTGGAAACATCCGTCAGCTCTATTGCCTACAAGGAGAATGATTTTTTTTGCATCATCTGCCGTAGAACAAGAGCGGTGCAGAAAGAAGCTTGCTGTTTTATTCTTCAATCCTATCATGCTCGTGGTGCCGTTGGCAGCTGCCGATCAACCCCAGGTACTCTGGAATGGTACCCTGCATACTTGTTGCATTGATACGGTGCACAGATGGAATCCGAAAAACATTTGCGAATCCGAAAAACATTTGCTAATCTCATTTATTTTTTTTGGGTAAAAAAATAATCTTACTGTAATATTTTGTTAACCTAGGTTATCAGCCTTGTGAATTTTCCTTTCTCTCTTTTGTGGGTCTAGAATGTTGGATCTCGACTCTAACCTTCGAGTTTCTATACTTTATCGCGAGGTTTTGTTTTTAGATTATAATTCTATACCGATTTAGCTCTCTATATTAATTTTTTTATAGTCGGAACGTCATCGTGTATTGTTGTAGATTGTCCTCATGATCTACTGGTTTGGAACCTGAATAAGGTAGCAAAAACTTGTACAATGTTGTTTTTGTATTACTGTTTTGACATGAACCACGTCCGGTTAGATTTCGTTGTTTGACTATATGGACCGGAGTTTGAATGAATCGTTTTCTCTGGTGGATTTCCATTGTAGTTCCCGTTGAAATGAATTTTTAAGCCAAGGTTTGCTGTTGCAAAAACGCGCTACAATGTCGGGGGTAGTACAATTTACAGAGAACTCTATTTTCTTCCTCTTTCCTTCAACCCTGAACCCTAAATGTCAGCATCGTATTCGGGCTAGGTGGTCGGGAAAGTTGCGAGTAGCTTCTCGGCTTGATCGGGGAAGAAGGTGATGAACAAATATGCACCTGGCATTTGATCAAAAAAGAAGATATGATATCTCATGGACCATGGCAACATAAGTGCTTTTAAGAGCATACAGAAGGACTTACAGATTAGTACAGTTCCAAGTACAGCTGAGATCTTTCCCTGAATAGTGACTAATCCGGCTTTGCCGGCATTTTGCAACTCCGTTGAACCAACAGAATCAAATGCTCCTGGTGTAGCAGAGAGTAGCAATGTCATCGATCAATCTTAAACAGCAGATAATCCCGGAGAAAGCGAAGATGTTGGAGCAAGAACCCTAACCTGGTTTTACGCTTTGAAGACCCGAAGTTATACACGCTATGTTTTCGAAACCCGCTTGCTCCAACTTATCGGCAGCAGCAGTAGACCTTCAAATTAAAAGGAAACAAAAGAACCTTGTCAAATGGTTTACAAAACACCGCCAGAAGCACTTTTGGTTATCGAAATCCCTTAGCATTACTAGGTAAAAAACCAACCTCAATCCTTCCTGACACACCAGTAACAGTTTGCTTTCAGGTGAGAACCGGTTTTTTACTGACTCTACAAATTCAGGGTTCGGTTTGGTAAAAGGCAACCCATAGAAGAGACCAGAAAAATTGTTGTGGAGAGTCCTCTTTATGATTGTTCCTGCCCATAATTCATCAAAAAAAAAATCAAAATTCCTTTTTTTTTTTTTTTCTAGAGATGATCTTTAAATGACGATAAATAGAATGAGCAGTTCCGATTATTCTTACTTTACGGTGAAATGATGCCACGTTAGTCAAAATGAGTTGTCAAAGAAAGACTTGCTTACCAAAATCATTGTCTTGGTTTTCAATGAAGAGAGGCATATGATGGCAAGATTTGATATGAGCTCGTTCGTACTGAGATTTGTCCCGGACATCAATGACGGTATATCCCCCGACTGCAATAAGTTCTTTTGCTTCTTCTGCACTTACAAAATTCACTTCTGCTCTGATTGAGAAATTCCGACGACGACGGGTTGGTTGCCCTAAGATGGTTCCTCCACCATGAGTACGAGTCTCAAATTTCAACCAAGATGTGTAGAGATTGCTGTCAAAAAAATTCTCACCCCTTACTTTCACTTTCATATACGTGTGTAACAATTTCACTAAATTCACTGAGATATATTATCATGATTTCAATCGAGTTCAAAATGATCTAAAAAGAAACAATATGTAACAAAATGAAGATAAATTTTGTAATGTATATGAGAATGTGAACCTAAACAAGTGCTAAGTTTCTAGTAAAATTTCAAAGTGCTTCTCAAAAAGCACTTAGTAGCGGCCAACTACTAATCATGTGATATTATCCAAACTGAACCACTACACGGTTGGGCAGCTGTTGGCCTCGGTGCAATTAGAAATGAAACCATACAATGTAATTTGTAATTTACTATGTGAAGTTTCCGGTGGGAAATCTATTCTTCAACATGCGCTTCTCCGAAAAACACTTGGAACTAGGTGATTCTCCAGAATTCCGTAGCCACTTTTAACTTTCCTTCTAAACACCATCATAAATGTTTTTGATCATCTAAAAACGCTTTTAGACCTTGTCTGAAAACAAGCTGAACAATTCTCAGCAACCAAACAAGAAAACTCACCATCGAGAACCTGAGAGTATTCAGAATAGGAACTTGTCCTGGTAAAAAATGCAGTCCTTCCAACATAAAAACAAAGACAGGGTACCTTGAGGACGAGAGAGTTGTACAGCAACAGCCAATCCCTGCCATCGAAGGAGTTTCTGGAATCCTCAAACTTCCGACTTCTCTCCTCCGTTACTTGTGGACGCAATCAACAGCCAATGATGGCCCAAGAAATTTGGATGCGGCAATGGGTTTCTACCACGTGGCAAATGGTATTGGATAGTAGATATATTTTCCCAACCTTTTTGCTCGTTGTCTTTTCTCCCTTTATGGGAGTACATTTTACGGAAATTAGGCTTACTAGCCCTTTTACATATACACAAACAAAATTAGTCCTGTGTGAGACAATCTGATTCCGATATCATAAAAAGATTTTGGATTTTATCATAAAATTAATTAACAATATAGGAAATAGTTTAACATCTTATAAGCCCTTGCATTAGTCTATCCCTCACTGATTGTGGGGCATTTTGTCCTCACATCATCAACTCTCAACAATATTAAAAAAAAAAAAAAAAAAGAGGTTCTTGTGTGAGGTCACCGTGGACCATGAGTGTTGTGTGAGAGAGAAGTGAGACACAAATGAGCCGAGTTATCATGGAGAACTCAGAAAGGTGAAGTGGGGGATGATTTTTTGTGTGTGGACCGTATGAGCCACCCGTCCGGCCCCCAGACTGAAGAATTTCTCCGACCAACAAAGAAAAGTTGCCTTTGTTATTAACACAAGATATTATCCAAATATAAATTTTAAGATGATGATCCTATTGCTATTTGCACATGTATAAAATTGTAGAGAGAGAGATGAGGTCCATCAGGAGGATATAGTTGGGTTTTTTGTCTTTCATCTGTTGCTGCTTTCATCATCGTTCTCGTGTCTACAGCGAAGGATCAGCAGCAGCGGAGGAGGAGGTGGCAAAATGAGCAGCCTGAGGCAGCCTCTGAATTCTGAATCTCCGGTGGTGCCAATTCTGGCTCCATACTTCCCCGTCAACCAGGGCTGGCCCTGAGAATTTGAGGGCCCTAGAGGAGCCTTCGAAGTGGGGCCCTAAACTTCTCTTATCTTTGGTTCTTTGTATATTGATTTGTATAAAAAAAGAATTCGCTAAATGCATAAAAAGTTCTATTTTCACATCAAATATCATTAAAAATTAATATCAAAAGAAAATAAATATACAAAACATTACATGATTCACGTTTTTAGACATAAATGTACTAAATATTTGCAGTCAAGAGTCTAAGATTGAGAGTGAAGAACAATAAAACTTAATGATCAAGAGAGTAAATAACTTTATATGTATTTGGACAAATGGATTGGGAGTTGGATAGATGGATTGGCAATAAATTTGAAAAACAAGAACAATCTAGTGACTGAAAGGCACCTTTGTGTTTCGAACTCAACACCCCAAAGAAAAATGAAGCCAACATTTCTACTGCACTAACAAATGAAGTATGATATTTTTTTTACTTTTTTTTTTTGTATTTATATGTTAATTACAGGATATAAAATTTTTTTAGGGACCCTTCTGAAGTAGGCGCCCTAGCGGCTACCCTCAGGGCTGGCCCTGCCGTCAACCCTAGTATCTCTTGTTTGTAAATTATTTTATTAAGATAAAGTGTCAATTTAATACCTGAATTATCACCTTAGTAAAAATTTGATCCGTGAATTATTTTTCGGTAAAATAAGACCTTAAATTCATTAAAAATTGCTAATTTCATCCTTACTATTATGTTCAAAGCTATTTTATCTAATTTTTCGTCAGCTTAAGTCACTTGACACATTTTAGAGTATAATATCGTTCTTTTCTCGCATATAAACCCTTAACATTTAATATAGGTTGCGAACTTAATGTCTAATTTACCCTCCAAAGTTAACTCCATACACTATTTCTTTATGTAAAATTACCAATTTACCCTTTAATTTGCATCACATGCAAGTAATGTGACTTAAATTGATTAAAAATTGAACATAGTAGCTTCGAATATATAATATTATGGATGTAATTGACAAATTTTTATACTTCAAATACTGATTATTTTGAAAAAAAAAAAAATTTAAAAACATAATTTTTACTCAAATAATAATTTAAGAACTAAATTTACAATTTACCTTTTTATTTAATGGGGCAACTTTTTGTTTCCTGCATGCTTTTTTAAATCCTGTGTAAAGTGGTGGCTGAGATTTTGAGGTTCTTATTATATACAACGTAAGATCGGTGGGGATTAGAAGGTAAATGGAAGATTCTCCTTCCCCTTAAGTATTTGGTTTATACATTTAATTTCACTCTCATTCCCAGGAAGAAGGCAAAATTGACAAAAGAAAACCGTTTGTAAGCGTTGAATTGTTAGTTACAGTCTTTCTTTCCAATTCACTGGATCTCGGATTCAAACCATTTTCCTCTTCTTAGACCAACTTCAATGGTTGGGGATAAAGCTTAAAAATTTAAGCCAAAAAATTTTAAGTCATAACCTAAAAACTGCTTTCCTGCTCCAATAGCATGACTTAAAATTTTAGTCTGAAATTATTAAATAATTATTCTAATTTTTTTTTTCCAGTAGCTTTTAAAAAAAATAAAGTTATGGTAAATTATTCTAATTTATTTTTATAAACATTTCTTCAATTCCAATAAATACTAAAAAATCACACAACTTACCTCATTCTTAAACACAAATTCATAATTCAATCTTACAACAATTACTAATACAAACGATAATTGAAATACTATATAAAAAATTAAAACACAATAATTAAAACAATAGACATTAGCAAATAAAAATTACAACAATTACTAATACATTCATGGGGATTTGGTAGACTTGGTGGTGGACTTGGTCTAGATGGATCATTATTTTGATCATTAGATGAATCACAAACACTCCTTGTGGCATGGGGTCTTATAATTTTTGCTTGCTTATCACGGAAGATCTGC